AATAATGAGCTGATTCAGTAATTTGCTAATAGAATTCAAATGCTAAACTGGCATATCCTGCTTGTCCTGAAGTGACGAAACGTTCCATGCATAAAGGAAATAGGAACACCTAGGTTTAAAGTAAGTCAGGGAAACAGTAATAGTTATATTTTCCACACAGTTGAATATACATGTGCAATATTTTAAAAAACATTTTCATGCCAATGTAATTTCTGTGATTACACAGCTCCCACAAGATAAGGAATTTTTGTCCTCTTGGGGTAAACCTCTCTGTAAAGACACTGGACTACACTCCACAGTTATGGGAACCAGGCGAAAAGCTACTGGCTATAAGTCAGGAAAGTCATGGCATTTCAAAGCTCCAAAGAAAGCGGGACTCTGAATATGCCACTTCAGTCCCTCCCTTGTGGTACAGTGGGTTAAAGCAAAGCATTAAAAAGCTAAAGCCACTTCAGCATGAGTTCAATCCTCAGCCCCAGAGGTGACCCACATGGTGTGGCAGATCTCTCCTGACCCACACACTGCTCCCCTCAGCAATGTACTTCGTCAGCTGGCCTGTTCTGCTCCCCACTCTGCCTCTAGTGAAGTCTCTCACTGCCCCTGCACCTCTGGCCTGTACCCCAGTTCTGTATACATAAATAAATAAATCATTTTTAAAAGAAATATGCCACTTCATTTAATAGTTAGCTGGCAAGCAGTCTCTCATCTGAGTATTCTAGAAAGTAAAAGATCCCAGCTCAGTCTACATCTGTATCTGTGGACACACATGACGGAGCAGGGAAATGAGAAAGATATTCCTTTAAAGCTGCTCAGACATCTGATACACACTACCAGCATGTTTACCTATTACACAGAAAATGATCAAAAGTTTGATTTTAAGGTTCTATTTTTGGGTGGTTAACCTGACTGCATCAACACTGACTCTCTCACTGAAGGCAGCTATAAAACCTGGACAGAACATATGCTGTAGCTATGTAAGAACTGTGCAAAGTAAGTAATAGTAGACAGATTGAAAAAGAAAATGAGACTTGAAAGAACCACTAATTTGGTATTGAGTTCACCATGTTTTTTTCTCTCTGGTATTCCCTGGAAAGAGATTCATCAAAATGGCCATCTTACCCAAAACAATATAATGATTTGATGCAATCACAAATAAAAATATCAAGGACATTCTTCAAAGAATGGGGACAAACTTTACTGAAATTTATATGGAATCACAATAGACCCCAAATGGCCAAAATAATTCTGACCACAAAAAAAAAAAAAAAGAATAGAGCATCAAACTCAAACTCCCAAATATCTAACTATACTATAAAAATCCATTAAAACAGTCTGATATTGTAACAAAAGCAGACACACAAACTAACGGGATAGAATAAAGAACCCAGAAATAAACTCATATCATCATGGACAGTGAATCAACAAGGCAACAAGAACTTTTACTGAGAAAAGAAAAACCTCTTCGGTGAAGGGTGTTGGGAAAACTAGGCAGCCTTGTCCCCCCCCCCAAAAAAAGATAAAACTAGACCACTATCTCATATTAGACACAAAAAACAACTAAAAATTTAATAAAATATTTGGATGCAAGGCCTGAAACCATAAACATATTGAAGAAAATATAGATGAAACACAGGCTTGAGTGATATGTTTAGGGATTCATCTCTAAAAGTAAGGAAAACAAAAAAAGAATATAAACAATTGGAATTACATTAAACTAAAAAGCTTCAGCACAGCAAAATAAACCATAGCTAAAATGAAAAGACAGCCTACTGAATGGGAGAAAATATTTGAACTCCATACATCTGGCTTTGATATTGAAGATCTGTAAAAAACTCATAAAAGTCAACAAAACAAAATAATCTAAGCAAAAAAAGGGAAAATTTTTACTAATAAAAAGTCGAATTATAAAGTAAAAAAAAAAAAGACAAAAGAGGCACTTCTCCAAAGAAAACAAAGAGATGGCAAGTAGGCCCATGAAAAAAAATGTTTGTCACTTATGATCAGGGAAATTCAAATCAAGACCATAATGAGGTAATTCCTCATACCTGTGAGGAAGGCCCATCTGGAAAAGCCCAGAAACAAACCTTCCTTTCTGGGATGTGCAGAAAGGGAACCTTCCTACACTGCTGGTGGGAATGCAAACTGGCCCAGCCTCTACGAAAAGAAGTATGGAGGTGTCTCAAAAGATTAAAAATAAGTCTTCCATATGACCAGTAATTCAACTTCTCATCATTTGCATGAAAAATTCTAAAATACTAGTTCAAAAGGAAACCTCCCCCACCCCCATTTATTGTAGCCAACTAAACCAGCAATTCACTGGTTAGTAACTATCCACGGAATACCAAAACAGTAATGCAAAGGGACATATGCACTTGTATATTCAGGGTAGCACTATTTACAACAGCCGAACTATGGCTAAACAAACAAGCTAGCTGTCTGAAAATAGATGAGTAGAATGGAATATTACTCAGTGACAAAAAATAAAAAAATAACTCATGCTATTTGTGGCAACATGGAGCTGGAAGGGATAATGGTAAGTGAAATAAGTCAGAAGGACAAAGACAAATACTGGATGATGTCTCTTATATGTGGAAAGGAATATAGAGAAACCAAAGTAAGAGTCAAATAAAGACTCACTTAAATATTAACCCTTGAAGTCTGTCTATGGAAGTAAAGCATCCGAGGGGAAGGGGTGAGGCATGGGTGAGAACAAAGAGGGAAGGGGCACAATGAACTCTGCTGGTGAACTGTGGGTGTGTGGTAGCAGGGACCCTACAGTGGCAATACCTGATGAGGAAGATCCTAATGTTACCACCGTTTAAAGAATAAATTTAAAAATGCAAAGCATAAAAAAAGTAAATTCGTCCCTTCCTGGTGGCGCAGCAGGTTAAAGCACAGCACTAAGAAGCTGAAGCCACTTCCTCATGAGTTCGATTCCCGCCTGCCCCGGAGGTGACCACATGGC